GACAAAAATCAACTTCTTGGAGGAACTTAAAAAATTGAAAACCCCGTTTGAAAAAATTCCGGTGAATAATGACGACAAAATCATCAAAACGCCGAATAAAGGGAGGCACAGCATATTGAATTTTTTGTGATAGGCTGTAGTATCCATTTCGAACTTTGAATACGAAATTTGTAACAATTTCGGTGAATAATGTCTCTAAATTCATGAAAATACCGAATATTGGGAGATTCCGTTATATGGAGGCTATACGAAGACATGCACCTGCATACGAAAAATTTTTTTCAAGGGCCGTAGTACCCATTATAAATAATAATGTCTCTAAAATCATGAAAATACCGAATATCGGGAGATACCGTTATATGGGGGCCATACGAAGACATGAACCAGCATACGAAATTTGCCAAAGGCTGTAGTACCCACAACAAGTTTTGAATAGGAAATTTGAAACAATTCGGTGAATAATGTCGCTAAAATCATAAAAATATCGAATATCGGAAGGTACCGTTATAAAGGGGCACCTGCATACTAATTTTTTTGCCTTCTGCTCCTCTATGGAGGAGGATACCGAAGGAGGTACCTTCTGCTCCTCTATGGAGGAGGATACCGAAGGAGGTACCTTCTGCTCCTCTATGGAGGAGGATACCGAAGGAGGTACCTTCTGCTCCTCTATGGAGGAGGATGCCGAAGGAGGTACCTTCTGCTCCTCTATGGAGGAGGAGACCGAAGGAGGTGCCTTCTGCTCCCCTATGGAGGAGGAGACTGAGGAGATGCCTTCTGCTCCTCTATGGAGGTGGAGCTAATATACCCTCCATAGAATGATGAAGGGTATAAAAACCTGAATATAACAAAGTTTAACTTTAGCGCTGCCAATATTCATACTTTACTTATATATTCTTAAAAAGGTGAAGTTCTACTCTGGCATTCCATGGCACTCTCAAACTTTTGTCCTAACCACTAAAAAAATGTGCATATTTTTGCATCTGTGGATCCTACTCGTGTTTCAAATTGTCACATTAACCTTTAAACTACTGTAAATGTGGAAGTACCTTCGCATGAAAGAAATACCAAAGATTGAACAATTTTTCGCAAAGAAGGTATATATTTTATTCAGAATCAATTGAATCAATTGAAAACATATGGTAAAAATCCACGAAAGAAGTAAAATCCGGTGCAGGGTTCTATGAGAGCTGTATCCATTCCATTAGGAACACCAAATGCCAGATCTCAGCCAATTTCAATAAAAAATGTACTTAAAATTTTGAAATTTCCTTAAATGGGGTACTACTTTATATGGCGTTTATGCCTAAGCTTTGACCAATTTTAACAATTTTTTGATTATATTATTTTTTACTCACTATGAAGCTACTCAGAATAAAAATAAGATCGATTGGATGTACAGAAACATTTTTGTCATTTCATTTTTAATGCGCCTATTTTATATATAATTTTTAATATTTATTTAATATTTAATTTGTATGTTATTTTTTGTGAAACACTTTCAATAATAATTCGTGAACTCTGACAACTCTTCTCGATACAACTCTCCCCATAACGGTTGCATTTCCTATGCAACAATACCTTTGGCAAGCACACACAATACCCCAACCAAAAAAAGAGAATGCATGCACTCACAATTAATACACTGCCGATAGCAACAGCGATGCCGACGTCCCACCATATTACAAACAGCACTGCCGCCAACAAGCGAAGTATAGAAAACTCTGTCCATTCACAACACAACGCCACAAACACGGGCAGCGAAGCCAACTGAGATGTTGTTTGGCAGTGCCGTTCTCATTTTCTCTGTGTGCAATGCTGTTCACTTTATCTCTCTTCTCTCCCTCACTGCCAACGCATGACAATGAATTCGCATTTCAGTCATCGCCGCATCGCGTTTTGTTTTTGTTGCCAGTCAGCAGTTATTGAGTTTGGTAAATTTACCGTTTCATTTGCATTGGTGTTAGTGCGCACGCGAGCTTATTTGATGGTGATATGATTTTTTATTGTTGTTTGTTTCGGACGAAGTGAGTCCGGGCCTCTCTGGTGTGTTGTTGTTGGCCATTAGGGTTTTTGAGTTTGGCGTTCTGTTTGCAATGCATATAGCGGGTTGATGTGTGTTTCTCTCTGAGTGTGTGTGTGTGTGCCTGTGAGTTTGTGTATCTTTGGATCTGTAATGCGAGCTGTTTGAATGCAATTGAATATTGCAGAAGGAATAAAAAAAATAAACAGAGATAGATATTAAATGCGCCGCGTCAGATAGTGAACAGTGGTTAATGGTGAAATTTAATGCGGGGATAAATTTAATGATTAACCCATTAAAAAAGAAAAGGGTGATAATTATGACATTATTTTCCATAATTAGGGAAAATTTGCAAATAGAAAAAAAAAAAAAGATTTTAACTTAGAATTTTAAATTTAAATATTTTCCAGATATAGGCTACGGCTACGTCGAATGACCAAGGATGGGGATAAACCATTATGTATTCATAAGAAAGTTGCCAGATGTCAGAGATTCTTGCCTTACTAAAGCGCCAGAGTTAATAAAACCAATACAAACCTGAAAATCTCTAGAGAGGTTTTTAAAATGCCCACCATAATACCCAATTTTTCCGCAGAAAGTATAGGGTAGTAATTTTAATTATGAAAGACAAATTAAAATACAGGAACTCATGTAGTTTCTTAGCTATAGAAGGCTTTAAAAAATCCTTGAAGACTTTTAAAGGTTTTTATTCGTAGAGGACCTACAATATTCTAGCTCCAGAAGATCTTCAATGTGTTTTGGTTTTATAAAAGAGTCTCCATAAGGTCTTCTATTTATAAAACAGGTCCAGAAAACTTCTGGTAGAAAACGAGCTGCAGAAGATTTCTCGAAAGTCTTCCATCTTACGAAGACCTCCGGAAGTTCTTCCATCTGTTGGAAACATGCAGTAGATATCTTTTGTTTAAAAGTTCCTCCAAGTTTTTCTATCCAAAAAATGCCTTTCGATATTCATCAAAGGTCTGCAGAAAGATTTATATAAAGCAACCGAAGGTTTATCCGAAGGTTATCTTTGAAAGTTTCTCAAAAGGTTTTCTATCTTTAGAAAGTCTCTCATCTTTGAATACCTTCAAACAATCGTTCATTTGTAAAGCTCCCCCCAACCTTTAGAAGACGTCTTATTACTGAGGTAATTAGCATACCTGCATACAATCTTGAAGAAAAAGGACTTGCTCAGGGACATGAAGAATATTTTTCTATAGGAAAAAGGCTTATCAAAGAACTGAGAAACTTGAACTGAAAAATTGTTAAGCTCATCCGGCGACTGTGTAATTTTCAATATAGAAAAAAGTTCTCCTAAGGAACACGAGAATATTTTTCAATAGAAAAAGTCTTTCGCCGAGCCTGGTTAAATTCTTTCTATAGAAAACGGCTCTTCCGCAACCTAGAGGTTCTTTTTATAAAGCAAAACTCTTCTCAGGTGTCTGAGGATTTCTAATTAAAATGCTTCTCATGAGCCTTAGGATTTAGAAAAAAGTCTCTTCAAATCCTCTTCTCTCATTCTCTTGGTTGACCCTTACATCATTAGTAATGATGGTGGTCTCTGAGATTATATTGTCAGCTAACCAATAACATAGAGATAGTGCTTCTAGCTGACCTTTTTATTATCTTGGAGGCAATGGTTTGGGCTAAGTCTTATTTATTTGTTTTGCTCTTCATTTCAGAAAACTGTCTGTCGCTTTTCTAAGACATAAGGTTCTAACTGTACCTGATTGTACCAGACTAGCCCTTATCTCAGACATGGTCATATCTGAGAATACTTATATAGCTGCTCCTTAGTTTAGAGATTATAGATTTTACTGACCTTTATTTCGAAGGCAATGAACCTGTTTGGCGCTTGGCCTGAATTTTATGTCTATATTTTATTATTTTTTATGGAAGGTAATAGAACTGTCTGCCACTTATCTTAAAGATAATTGTCCTGATATGTTCTTATTAGAGATTCGATGATTTTGTCCTCTCTCTCTTTCTCAAAGAAAACTTTCCTGATATGCACTTATCTTATCCCAAACTAAAATTTTAAAACTTATCTAATAGATAGAATCCTTGTCAGGCCCGCAAATAACATATAATGGTCCCCACTGGCCGTCTTTTCCAAGAGATATTGATCTTAAAGGAGCTTCAGAGCTAGGATGCCTCTATATCCATGTGAAAAAAATATAATGCCTTGAGTGGCCCTTATTACAGATGTATTTTTCTGACTGATTGACTTCGAAAAATTGTCATGTCAACCCTTAATTGAATATATCTTACCTAATTCAGGTTTATCTTAATCAGCTTTATTTTACCTCGTTACCAAACAGTGTTGACAAGTCGTGATTCAATACTGAACTGACAGACTGGATTTTATGCCGGTAGTATTTTCAACAAAGGGGACAGTATTTTTAAAAGCGGGAGAATATATAGAGAGATAATACAACAATACCAAACTAAGTTCTTATTTAGACTAGGCGAGTTAACTAGCGGCCAATTTTATTGTTCTATTTAGACCATACCTTCTGAATTTACACAAGGCAATTTTATTTTTAGAAATTTAGCTATTTTCATCTTTGCCTAAAATATTTCTATAAGCGAATTACCAAAAACGGTTCTCCCTCTTTTTAATTTTTTTACTTTGTTCCTTTCCAATCTGAAAAAATCATAAAAAATCCATTTCTCCAACTCTTCTCAGACCCACTGTTAACTTACAAGTGTTTAAGTAGTTATTTTGCAACGCCATCTACATTCCAATTCACTGATCTCTTTTACATTCCCTCTTTTCTCTTGGTGGCAATTGAAACACACTCACACACATTGTTGTTGTGGTTTGTGCTCTGCCCATTGAGCCACAGCAACGTCAACGTCGTCAACTCAGCCAAACACACATCAATGCTTGCACGATTTTCAAATTGGATAAACACGAATGGTGACGACGACGCTGATGTTGATGGTTCTCATTGTGCTGCTGCTGCTGTCGTCGTCATCGTCGTCGGCAGAGCAAAAGAAAATTTTCTCTTTTTCGCATTGAAACAACTTGAATTATTTTCAGTACGTATTGTACTTTGAAGTGAAACGGAAGGTTACTAGCGGATACAATTGAAGAATTGAAGCAAATCCAAAACTAATTTCTTTCACACAACAATAACAACAACAAGAAAGCCAAGCAATCGCCACAACAACAAGAGCAAAAGTAAAGCTAAATAAATTCAATAGTTCTGTGTTTTTTCGAAGCTACAGCAGCAACAACAAGAAAACAAAATATAGTAGTGAATGTGTTATGTTGTATGTATGTGTGTGTAACAGCAGCAACAGAAACAAGAAGTAAAGTAAAGAAGAAGAAGAAGAAATAAGAAAAAAAACAAAACAAAAAATCAACCACCAAAAACAACAACCACGGTAAAATTTTACAGAGTCGTCGAGTCGAAGTAAAACAAAAAAAAAATAACAACAAAAACGGCAAAAGAAAAATTTGTAATTACAAATAAACAAGAAGCGCTCGGTGAGAAAAACGTTGTTGTGAATTTGATGAATGTCGTGTGTACAACAATAGCAGGCTAGAGGCAAAAAAAGCAAACAAACAAACAACAATAACAGCAAGCATACCTTGTAATGGGAAAATTTCTCGAATGAAACAAATCTAATCGGAAAATAGAAAATTTCTATCGAAAACGCCGTAAAAAGGAAAAACGAAAAGGAACCACTTTTTGACAATTCTCTGTGGAAATTAAGAAGAAGAAGAAGCAGTGTAAAAACAGAATTTCCGTTTTCCTGCCAAGCAACCAACCAACCAACCAACATCAACGAGAAGAAAATCCAACAAGAAAATCTCTCCCCCCGTTTCGCCAAAAAAGAAGAAAAATAAAGGTAAATTCTCGCCAAGCAAAAATGAAGAAAAAAAAAAAACGAAAAAGAAGTGTAGAGAAAAAAGTGAATGTAAAAAAGTTGTGGCAAAAAAAATAGTAACAGAAGAGAGCTGCAAAAAAGAAACAAGTTAACAATAACAGCAACAACAAGAAGAAGAGAAAAAGTGTAAAAAATTGTTAATTAGTTTTGTAAATTGCAATTGTTTTCTTCTGGTTGTTCGACACGACGGCATCTAATTTTCTGTGGGGCATGGATTTTTGTTTTTGCTGTTGTTCCTTTCTTCGGGCCAAGCAGGCAGGCAGGCAGACCAGTCATTGTTCGTTCATGATTTTTCAAGTGAAAGTGTAAAAAATTCGTAACTCTGTTTGGCCGCAAAGGAGAGGAGAGCAAATGCAAACATGAAACAGAAATGAATTTTGTGCAAATATTGGGAAATTGAATGTGAAATTCGATGGAAAATGTAACAGTGTCAGGGAGGGGAAATTATTTGCTCCATGTAATTCTTTAAAATATGTTATTAACACTTTCTTATCGATCCACAAAGGAAGTTGAAGGAAAAATTAAAAAAAAACAGCATTTGAAAAATGTGTGTGGGTTTTTCCCCCATCCCAACCAACTGGCTTTCCACAACTCATTTTGTTGTTATTTTTTTTTTTTTTTGGTTTACTGTCTCCCGTTGTGTGCTAGGCATTGCCAACATCGAAGAGAAGGCCAAATATGGCGTTTTCATTTTACGCTGGAAAACTTGTTTGCATGTCGCCGTGCTGTGCCGTGGTGGAGGTTTTGGTTTGTTGTTTTTGTTTCTACTCTCAGGATTGCTTGACAAATGGAAAATTGTTTTTACAACATGGGATACATCGATAAATAATAATTATTCAGAAAAATTAATTAATTTATAAATTTAAATATTCCCCAACTTTCTTTATTTGTTTATAGTTTTCCCTACAAAAAGGAAAAAAGCTTGGAAAAATCCACCACCAATTTGTTATTTTTCTCTTCTTTTTTGCCTTGTAAAAATGCAACGCCAACCTTTCCAAACACACACGCATAGACACTCGTACTCATACAAACAGGTATACCACACTCAGAAATAACCACTAAGTTGTGACTCTCTGTTTTCCTCTCCATGAATAACAGAGAAGGAGAGCAAAATAGAGCCTTTCAACTACAACAGTAGTTAAAATGATGCAGTGATGCTAATTTGGTGATTTTTAAACCCTTCAAGAACATTTATGAATATATATTCTAGGGTTGCGTGAAATTTTAAGTCGAATTTTTGTAAAATCGCTTTAATTTTCTTTGTCTACTGGGACTAAAATGTAAAGTCTGGGACTAAAAGTAAAAATCATTTAAGTCTCACAAAGGGAAATCTCCTTTCGAAGGGAATCTCTTTCTGTGGCGACCTCTTTTCAAATGGATCGAACTAGATGTTTAATTTTGGTAAAACGCTTGTTATTTGTATCTGAAATTTTAATGGGTTTGGAGAAAGTCTATGTCGTTTCATTTTTTTCGTATAGCCTCCAATAGAAAGTAACCTACCTAATATTCTATACCTTGATGAATTCCAAAGGAATTGCTTGAAGTTTGTATTTGCAGTTCTTAGTGGACACTAACAAATTAGACACCAAGTGATTTATATATTGGTCCACGAAATTGTTTCCATACAAGGGTATTGTACCCATAAAAGAGAACCTCCCGATATTTGGTATTTTGATGATTGTCACAATGTTTTCCAATCGTAGTGTTTGAAATTTGATATTTTCGTTCGTAATAGGTCCCACCTCCCATGGAAAAATTAAGAAGGCAGTCATTTCAAATGTAGTTCTAATTTGGTACCAAAAGAAGTTTTTTATACCCTCCACCATTGTATCGAGGGTATATTAAGTTTGTCATTCCGTTGGTAACACATTGAAATATACATTTTAGACCCCAGAAAGTATATATATATTCTTGATCAGCATAAAATTTTATGTCGATTTTGAGATGTCCGTCCGTGTGTCCGTCTGTGGAAATCACTCTAGCTTCCGAACAAAATGAAGTAGGTTGATAAAATTTTACTCAAATGTATATTATGTCCGCTAGACTTTTGGTATTGAAAATGGGTCATGTAGGTCCACGTTTTGGTATAGCCCCATAGAATGGTACCTCCGGATATTCGATATTTTGATGATTTCAGCTACATTATTCACCGGAATTGATTAAAATTTGGTGTTTGAAGTTCGTAATGGATACTACAGTCTAAGACAGAAAATTGTCTGTGCAGGTCCAGGTCTTCGTATTGCCCCCATATAACGGTACCTCCCGATATTCGGTATTTTGATGATTATAGCGACATTATTTACCGGAATTGTTTCAAATTTAGTACTTGAAGTTCGAAATGGATACTACAACCAATGACAGAAAACTGTCTGTGCAGGTCCACGTTTTGGTATAGCACATATAATAGTAACTCGGTATTTTGATGAATTTAGCTTTATTATACACCGATTTTTTTATGTTTCGCATTTGAATATTGTAATGGCTTATGACAAAAATTGCCTATGTATGTCCACGTCGTCGTATAGATGGCTACATACGGTATTTTTAAGATTGTAATGGAATTTTTTACGAATTTTATATTATTGAAAATTGTGAAATTCTTTCCAAATTGTGGATGGTATTAAAAGTTCGAACCGGCCGAACTTACAAATTTTTATTAAAATGGGAAGGAAAAAAAAAACAACCAGAACCATAAGAAAGAAGTTTAAAATACCTCGGTGATTCAATAATTTGGAAAATTTCAACGGAAAATGATTTAATGGAAAATTTTAACAAATCATGAATTAAGGCCTAACAAAGACCTGGTCCTCAATTCTTGTTCTATGAAAATGTGAATTGAAAACTTTTATAAAGGAGAGAAATGTCAAATGAAAAATTTTATAAAGGAAATATTTTTCATTTCATATTTTGATAGAACATGAATCCAGCACCTGGCTTGTGAAATATTAATTTAGTGTGTGCCATTATGTGCAGCCAACACATGGACTACCACAAGGACAGACGAAGATAAACGGACCCATTCAAAATATGACTAAATCGACGAATTCTGAAAATTCCACATACTGCCCACATTACAAATCAGGATGTTCTAAGAGAAATAAATCTTTATAAACCATCCTTAAAATTCAAAAAAATGTCATATCCGGGTCATCTAATGAGAACTGAAAATACAAGTTTCTGCAAACCATTACCAAACCAAAAATGGGAGGAAATAAAAAAAAATTAAAATTAGGCTCGGATACAGATTTGAAGGCGAAAGCCAATCCTTTCTGCGTTTAGGCTGAAAATTGTAAAGATATTGTTGAAATAAATCATGAAAATGTAAAATTCCATGGGCCATGTTTATGACGAACAGAAATATTTGGCAAAAAAATTATAAATACAAAGTTTTTGCTATAAAATCTTACTCTTCACTTTAACCACAAAGAAACACAGAGTCTGTAAATGCGTCTGTAAAAAAAACATTATAATCTCGGCAGTTTTTTGCCCTGATAAATAAAAATTGCATCCAACTATTGGTGAGATGGTGTTTAACATTTTTGAAATACGCGTAAAGTTGTAATTTTGAACTAAACTGTGCCATTTTTCATAAATCCGATTTGATTTTTATCCTACAAATACCTCAAGGTAATGAACTTTACTTCAAAGTATTTAACCTGTTACATTAATTACAATCACTTAAATAAGAGGATGCGGACATATTTAATATTTTTTTAAAAATTATTTTATTTTTCAGTAAATAATATAAAAAAATCTGTAAAAATACAAAAAAATTCTTAATTTGTAGTTCCTAACTCGTTTAGGGTTCCCAGGGGTCAAAAATATTTTAAAACCTATTATTAATTTTAGTTGAAGTAGCACCTTTTGTTTCCTTCTGAAATTTACTTCAAATCTCTCTAAAAAGAAAAATGCTTTAATTTTCATATTATACAGAGCGATTTTTTACACCCTGAAACGTTAGCATCACTGTTTTCTTAACACAACACAAAAATCCTACGGCTGTAAAACTCTCCTCTCCCTCCCCAAAAGATTTATGGTAGTTACACGGATAAGAGTTTTGTTATCACAATAAAAAAAAAATAAACACTCAGAGAGGGAGAGAATCCCTTTCAATGAGAGAAGAGAGCGTGGTATACAAGATTTTTTCCTCGTTACTTTGGCTGCTGTTGGCAATGCTAGTTAGAATTGCTGTTGGTGTTTTGTGGGTTTTCTAACAGATTTTCTCCAAAGACAGGAATCTCGTTTTTTCCTCCCCCTCTCTCTCGCGCTTACCTTTGTCGAGAACACATAACAAACTACCACCCAAACCTGGTGGCGCTGAAAGTGGAGTTTTAATAACATCTTATTAAACGTCAATACTGCCACCACCACCACCATTCTCGCTGGCTTACCTGATTATTTTTGTTTTGCCGAAAAAAAAGAAATTATACCGTTAAGTTGCCGAGACGTCGATAACAGTGAACCATTAGTAGTTTTGTTGTTGTTGTCGTTCGCTGCAATTGTGTTTTTTTTTTGTACGAACGCCGTTATTATTGTCATTTTGGTATTCTTGTCAGAAACTATTATTGTTTTATTGTTGTTATTATTGTTATTATCATCTCTGCTCTTTACTCACCGTTGAGAGTGAGTGTTGGGCTTTGGGTTGTTTTGTGGGTGGTTGGAGCGAAGGTGTATTTGTTGGTGGTGTTGTGCATTCGTTGAATACGATTTTTTTGTCAAACAGAGCGCACTTGGTTGGTGCTGCGCCGTCGCCAACTCAACTCTCTTTCGTGCCTCCTGTGTGTGTATGTACATATTTCCTTTGTGTGTGCGAGAGTTGGCTACTACTCCAAGCCATTTGTTAGCAGAACGTTAAGCGGAACTTACGCACATTTTGTGTTTTGGCGCTGACGAGCGTTTTAGCCAGAAAAAAATATTCATTCACCCACAACCCATACACGCGATCAAAACAACCAAACGGT